GGATGTCACATGTCTTCCCTGACGTCAGGGGCGTTGCCACCTCCGTGTAGTTTTCTTTTCGTCGGCCAGCTGTATAGTTCTGATGTACTAAGCCTAAATTGTTGAATTCCCCCCCCCCCCCCCAAAAAAAAAATAAATTAAAATTAAAAAATTTAAAAAATACATTTTTAAAAATTAAAATGCTTTTTAAATTAATGGTGTCGATGTCACGTGCTCAAGAAATATTTATTTTGTCCACATTCAAATTCAGAATGTTGAGAGGGGGGGGGGGGGGGGGGGGAAGCAAAACAAAACAAAACATGATATTGGTATAATTGTAAAAAGAATGAACGTTTTTGTTTTCTTTATTCAACTCTGGGAAATTTTGTGATATTGATTTAGCATGTTTGCACAGCTTGCTGGTGTTTTGTTTTTCTCGACAACTGTAGGAAAAGGTGGTTGGTGGATGCTCTGTTTGGCCTGTCGTTTTGATTAACCCTTTTCAGTGTTGTTAATTTTTGCGTAACTATTTTCCGCTCAAATATGGACGTTGTCTTGACACATCTTGCCGTTAACAGTGCCAGTATAACGTTGCGTATATATATATATATATATATATATATATATTCAATAGCAAGAAAAGCTTCACAACACGGGAACCGAACTCGGGTCTTCTGCGTGCGGCGGCGAAGTTCCTACTTTAAATTTTCTAGTCAATATGTAAATAACACCGTGTGTTCGAAAATTCAGAGTGTGACATAAATTCTCCAAGTTTTTCCCAATGTTAAAGACCACTGTCGTAGTTGTAAATGTTTCTTTCCTGTTACTTTGCCGCTTTTAGACTCGTATTGCGTGTCGACACGGAGGAAGTTGGGATCTGGGAGGATTTGAAAAATAGGGGTGGGAGAGTGGGCAGGGGTTGGATGGTGCGCTTATGGGGTTTACTCGATTGCTAAACATCTTTCGTACTTATCGCTAACTCTTCTTCTTTTCTTTTTTTAGTGTTTTTTATTTATGTAAGTTACTCTTTGGTTACGCCTCTTATCTTCAAATACTGTAAAACTCTTACTCATACTAAAGTCAAATCAAACAACAAAAAAGTGTGTGTGTTTGTGGGGGGGGGGGGGGGGAGATTAAAGTGAGAGCATTACCCTTTGGTCAATACCCACATTCGATACTGTTGAGGTAACTGAGTGCTCCTTTTCAGGGAGATTTTAAAATTGAAATAACTTGTGCGAATTTTGTAACAGCTGCATTTTCCTTGAGGCCTTTGTGCCCTTTGATCCTTGGTGAGGTATTGCACCTGGGTCTATGGTGCAGCCTTTAGGCACTTCGCTGTCGCACGCAGAAGACCTGAGTTCGATATTTCGAGTATGGTGAGTTTTTATCGAGTATCTCTTGTCTTTCTGCTGGGTAGTTGTATCCATTTCAGTCTGGCTTGGCTGTGAAAGGCAGAATCAAAGCTTGCCTCCTAAATGATCTAAACTGTGAGGATGGGAGCGTAAAAGGATACATTTAAAAGAAAGAAAAAAAAATCGTGATAAACTGACAAAAATGTCTCGTACATTTATCAGATCATATAACAAAACAGGGTATCCGACCCCTTTATTGATGTACTTCGACATCAGTTTTCATTGGTTGGACCTAGCTAGAGAGAGAATATTGTTGTGCTCGCTGCTGTCTGCTCACATTATAATAACAATATTCTCGAGTCCCCACAGACCTGGTTCTGGGACACGCGCGGATCTAGGAGCTAGACCTGGTTCTGGGACACGCGCGGATCTAGGAGCTAAACTCAAGGTTTGCTGGTCTGTCGGGTCAGATTCCCTGTCAGGGTCAGGTCAAAACATGTCAGTGGGCGGTTGGCTGGGGTTTTTTTTTTTTGGGGGGGGGGGGGGGTAAAGTGTTTTTCGGCGCTCGCTACTGCATAAGGTCATATGAGCGCGCGGGACACATTGAAGTTTTGAATTTTGCCCAGGTGGCTGCCGAAGCCTACTCTTATCGATTTTGGACCACCAAGGGATCTTTAACGTGCGCAACTTGCGCACGGGACCTCCGACATTTTTCTCCCTTGTCCTAGAAGGCTAGGTGTAGATTTTTCCTACCATAAGATCAGGGTTGTGGCTGAAAGACAGCATTAAGAAGGAGCCAATGAGAAGCAATAGAAAGGCCGTAGAAAGAGTCAGAACCCCAAAGGAGGGGACAAAGGAGGTGACGGGATGGGGGCAGAAAGCGGAGACGAAAGCAGACAACAGAGTATTGTTAGAGAGCAGGAACGGTTGTGAAAGCAGAACATTTAAGAGAATGAAATTTTCCGTCACTATCAGGATTCGAACCCGGAACCTATTGAATGAGAGGCGAACACCTTAACCTATAGGCCACGAGAGCCCCCGCAGGGTGCTTTATTGTCGTTAACTCTTTCTTTCTCATCAAACATAATCTGTCGTCGTTATCTCTCCTCCGTCTTTATTTGTTTGTTACTCCCTTAGTAACTCTTCAATTCTTCGGCACTTATATGACCTAATTGTGTTGCAAGTGCCGCTAAACATTTGTTAAAACAAAGAGACCATGCCATGATTAGGTCAGATCATGTCATTTTGCCCACCCCCCCCCCCGAAACTTCCTCTGCCCCACCCCCTACAACTGGGAGAACACTTTCAGCCCTGCCACCCACTCATACAACCTGTGAAAAAATGCAAATCTCTCGCGGCCCCGTGATATCTTTCACGATTTGAAGTCACGTCCCAGTTTTAGAGAAAGGAGTCTAACCGGCTAGGTTCATGGCATCCTCTTCTTCAAGTCTTAAGACAAATACGCCTATACCCACCAAATTGTCTGAGACGGTTGCGCATTGTCGAGGAGAAAGTGGTTGTCTTACAGACTTCAATATAAGTCAAGGACCACCTTGACAGACAGCCCTGATTTTTTTTAAATCCGAAAAAGACAGCAAAAAATGGTTCAAAATTGTTTGCTCTGAAAGTGTTAATGGGTTACCAGTGCGTACTGCAAAGCTTCCAAAATGGGCAAAAACCTCCACGTGCAGCACGGAAATTTTCGGGGAATTATAGCCAAATTGGCT